TACAAGATCTAGCGAACTGAACCTCCTAGATGAAAGAGTAGATATCCTGCGGGGGTAGCAGCGTAGTCCATAATACAGACATCATGTGATAAACACCATATATCTTTACTTAATTCGCCACCTAACGTACCATCTATCACCTACATCTATATATATATAGTATACTATATATATGGCTATATATATACGTGGTATATGTATATACTTATATATTTACATATCGATCTCCATATACCAACAGCCACCACCAACCAATCATGCTCCTCCAGAATCCACCATATCTGCCGCCTCTGCCTTATGCTCCGCCGTCCCGGCTGCTGCCAGACGCTCCGCAGCGTCTTCGGCATGGGTTTGGCGATCTACCTCAACAGAACCTCCAACTTCTACCTCCCCGATTCCAACACTTCGTCTTCCTGCATGTCTGATTTCCAGGAGAAGCTTCTGTCAATGTCGATTTCCGTTCCGTTTTACCCCGCCTGCTACGACACGAACTTCTTCGTCAATAATCCGGTCACCAGCTGCGCCGGGATCCGTACTGTAGACGATTGGACCAGAATCGTCGATCCGTACATCCAACTCGAATCCGTCTGCAATGGGGATCTCACCCGGTTGACCCAGTGCAGTATGTGTAGGGATGCGGGCTTGGGGAAAATGGTGGATGAAGTTGTGGTGGTGGGTGTGGGGTGTGGTGGAAGACGGGATGAAGAAGAACACTATTTTCTTTTTTCTTTTCCTTTTTTAATTGTTATTATATTTAACACATATTTTATTTATATTTGTTTGTTTAAAATTGAAAATTTATTAAAAATTGTTAGACATTATTTTTTCTTTTTCTCTTTATTTTTTATTAAGGGTAATTCTGTCATTTCACTTAAGTCAACGAGCCAGTGCACACAAAGGGGCGGTGGGCTGACTAAAACACAACAGAGGGGGTTATAAGCTAATTTTTTTTTCCGGGGGAGTTTTTTGCTTCCGAAAAATAACACAGGGGGCTCTATGCAATTAACTCATTAATGTGAAGATAAGATTCCTTTTTAGCCTCGTTTGATTATCAATATAAGATTAATCAAATCTTATTAGCATTCGATTGTGTGATTGGATTATCTGAGATCCAATCCACAAGATAACTAGACATCATTTTTGTTTCCAAAAAATTGCGGGCCAATCGACCTGAAAAATTATTGAACTATCTGAATATTAAATAAGGTCTAATTATTTAATCAATCATAACTAATCGTACGACCCAAACGAAACGTTGGTTAAAGCCGGTTCCGGTTCAACCGATATTTTAAAATTGGCCGTAATTTATACGGATCTCGTAGAACAAGTATTGGCTAAAGCCGGTTCCGGTTCAACCGATATTTTTACGAGTTGAAACTCTTCTTCTAATTGGTCCTTCTTCTCTTGAGGAATTTCCTGGAGTTGTTCTTTGTCTTGCTTTTGTTGCATTTCTATATCTTTCCCCCATAGCAGAATGTACAATCCAAAGATAACAATAACTGATCCTAATAAACTGCAACACATGCCAAAAAAAAAGAATAAATAAATACGTTCGATAGTATATAAAAAAAAAAAAAAAAAAAGCAAAAAATTCAATAGTGACCTTCCGAGATGAAGTTGCTCGTGTAAAACCGGAACATCGAACATTGCAGCAAGTATCTGGACAAGAGGGCTGAATGCTGCAGTGAAGACCGGTCCTCGTTTCTTCACACACCACGACATTCCCACAAAGCACAATCCCGATCCCACAATCCCCTGCATCACGTACGTAAATGACGTCTCATTTTCTATTTGCATGTACTCATAATTAAACCAAAAAAAATCGGAAATCAGAATGAATTTTTTTATTTCCAAATCGTAATTTTTTTTTATCATAATCGGCGAAATTCGGAAATTTCATTTTTTTGCTCACATATACAATGCAAAATGCATAATAAATATTGATATTATAAGTGCAATTTTTGGAACTTTCAGAATTCGGAATGAAAAACATTGTTCCAAAAAATATACTTACTGCATAGAGAACGACAAAAATGTCGGATTTCCTCTTCAAAATCCAGATCGAAAGCTCCCGATCAATGGAGGAGCTCAAAATGGCGGACTGTATAGCACTAAAGATGGCCATGATAGCGGTGCTAGAGTATTGGCACGGATATTTTTTCCCGATATTCGATTGAATCAGAAACCACGAAGACCAGCACAACGTTCCCGCAAATAGAGCCACCGAACCAATAACCCATCTTTGATCTCCTTCAACATGCTCAACGCGTGGGCCCGCGGATCGAGCAACGCTGCTCTCTGGGCCCGGAAAGTGAAACATAGGCACCCCTTTGTAAAAGGTTAGCAAGATTGCACCTCCAAGGCACACTAGTGCACCTACCACTTTGGCTCTCCCGCTACCGTATTTCACGTTTACCGTCTCTAAACTTCACAATCGAGGAATAACGATAATTAATTAGTCGGACAATTAAAAATTCTAAGTTTTGAAGAAAAGTAATGTTGCAGTGGCGGAGCCAGAATTTTATCTTTGCTGGGCAAAAATAGGCGCCAAAAAATAATAAAATCCCTATATTAAAAAGATTTTTGAGAAGTGATGGGGGCCACGGCCCCCAATGACTGTATGCCGGCTCCGCCACTAAAATGCAGCATAATAAGGTGAAATTTAAAACATGGGGATATATAGATACCGAAATGGTAGAGCCATTAGAAATGTGAAGACGGGGACCATGTTGAGGAAGGCGCATGAGAAAGTTGCGGAAGTGTACTCTATGCCGAGAAGGAAGAGATATTGTGTTACGGATGCCCTACAAAAAAATGAAAAAATAATAAGAAATAGCGCCCACGAGTTCAAAAACTTCAATAGTTATAAAGAAATTAAATGCGCATCCGAAACTATATTTTGTTGATCGCTCAAACCATACCCGAGAATCGCACTCACGAAGAGGTGACACAATATGCTCAATGTCAGCTTCGGCCTATTTCCCCTGCAAGTACACGAACTTCATCAATTTATCAAGAAAAGTACATATATATATTGAGAGAGAGAGAGAGAGAGACCTTTCTAAAAAGAACGCTAACGGGGATAAAAAGAGTGCGGAAATCGACTGGCGATAAGTAATGAAGACCAAACGGTCGACCCCATCGTTGACGATCTTCTTGAGAAGTATATTGCTAATGGCAAATGCCATATCAATACCTATCATAGCAATAACAGGGTACCACTTAGCAAAGCTCTTCATCTTGATATATAAATTTGTTATACAAGACATCCTATAGATATACATACAACACTAGCTTCTTATATATATATATATACACATACATAGTCTTGTGTAACTAGTTCAATGCATATTCTCTTCTTTTTTCAACAAATAAAATCAAGAATGTTTTTTTTTTTTTTTAAATAATTTCATTGACCACTAATACTTTTCTCCTAAGCATCTCCTTTGTTCCTTGATCCCTTTTCTTTTTTCTTTTCAAAAAAAATATTTATCACGTGGGTTTAATATCATAATAATAAAAACATAATAAATAATTACAGAAATAATAATAACAATAATCTTAGGGCTAGTGTTAGCATCTACGAGTGGGGATGAAGGATAAATGGTTCACACGTACAGTCGAAGCATCCAATTCTCGTTTGAAATGATCGATAAAATATATAATCGGCATCTCATTTGTTTTTACAGTGCAGGTTGAGAACAACATGTCAAATCTTTATCTTCAACCTCACATTATATTCATTAATCCTCATGCCACTAGGTTTTTCTTTATAGCTAGGATATGATTATTAATTAATATTGTTTACGCCACTTTTTTAATTACTAGTTAATTAAGTATAAAGTGTTTTTATTATGTTAATTAATGAAAGCATCTGATATATATATATATATCATAAGTCAGCTGCAATGGAGATTGGAGCATATGTTATTATATATAGTTCATCAAGTTGGCAAATAAAGGTCTGTAAAAGCAGCTTAAACGAATCGAAAATTCGTTTTTTTGTTTTTAAGTATCTATGTTTATATTATATATCATGTGCTAAATAAATAAAGAAAAAGAAAACAGAGGAAGTGGCATTCAAAAAGACTACGCGAGAAAATATGAAGTTATGTTTGTTTCGATTTTTGACTATTTTTCGTTTCGTAGTTTTGGCAGCAGAATCGAGCCCGCTCGAGACCAGAGTGGACTGAGTTCCATCCTCAAATTTTGATTAAAAAAAGGAAAAAAAAAGAAGAACATATTGTTATAACTTTAGTTCTTTCAAGCCTAATATTGATATCCTAAGCAAGTATTTATGAGTGGAATCGAAACGGATTTCTTATTCTGGAGATGTTTTTCACTCAAATTTCATAATTTCCATTTTTGTTTCTGATTCCGTTGCAAGTGCCCCTAAAATCGTCTGCTGCCTGCCG